GAACAGAGAGCCAGGCCTGGAGTCAGAAAGATGTGAGTTTAAATCTGACCTCAGATACTTACTAGGGTGTGACCCAGGGAGAGCCTGCTGGCCTCGGTTTCCTCATCTGTCACAAGGGGATAATAATAGCCTCCCAGAATTGTTGGGGGATCAAATGAGATGGGATTTGTAAAGTGCTTTGGCAAATCTTAAAAAGTGCTGTAAGAAATGTTAGCTATTATTCTTGTCATTGTTCATTTTCCAGAGAGCATCCCAAGTTTCCTTTGTACTCTAGAGCACAGACCAGCTCCATGGCCAGGGGAAATAAAGAGAGACAACGCTCCCCTGCTGCTGGGTCAGCAGGGCCAGGCCTGGATGGAACTTGCTTACCTAGGTCTAGGAGAGTGGAATTGTTCTTCAAGGCCATGGCCAGCTCTTCTGCCCCCTTGTGGTTGATTTGGTTGTTTCGAAGGTCTAGTTGCTGCAGCGTAGTATTGGCCCCAAGGCCCTCACAGAAGAGAGAAAAACTTTCTTCCCACATCCCCAGGTTGTTCCACTCTAGAATAAGGCTGCAGAAAAAAGCCATCATCAGGGCTGAAGAAGCCTGGCATAGAAAAACAACCTGTACCCATGAAGACTCATGGAAATGAACGGGAGAATGGTTTGAGAGCTTTTCTCTCTAGGAACATCCCTGAACCATATTGATGAGGTATGGGCAGTGGGTCACCCTCTTACCTTTGGATAGCCTTGTTTTGTCGGAGGAGTTTGCCCAGAGCCTCAGCCCCTTCAGCTCGAAGGTTGTTACCCTAGAACAGATGAATGGTCAGTCATTCACCCTCCTGAAGGCTGGACTCTCAATGTGACAGCCTTACCTTCAGAGTGAGCCTATCTGTGTGCTCTACCCTGCTACAAGGTGAAACTGGAGCTAAGCGAACCTTTAGGGGCGGTCCCTAAGACACTGCTGAAGGGAATTAAGGACTGCCTTTTTAAAAAAGAAGGTATGTTTTCCTCAAAGTTGGCATCACGTCATTCCCTCATGGGACTAGTGCCACTCAATCATTCATTGATTCATTCAACACTATGTAATAAGCACTGTAGGAGATATATGATCTCTACCTTTGAGCTTAAACATTTTTGTGAATTCAAGATATATGTCTATAATACAATTAGACAAACAATTCTGAGGCCACATATAAGCTAGGCCATTCAAACAATATCACTGTAACTGTCCAAACTGTCCAAAACAAGGCTAATCTGAAATGGACACCATACCCCACAATAAATATTTGCCAATCTCCATTTCCCCCTCTATCCTCCCTCATGGCTCTTCAGGTCTAGTGTTACTGTGAAGAATGTTTCTATCTGCTCACCTTTAAATCCAGATATCTGACTACTGTGTTTGAACAAAGTCCTTGTATGAGCAGTTTGGATCCTGTAAGAGACAAGGAGTTGTTTTTTTCCTTGGAATACAAGGGCTTCCCTGGGTCATCTCTTATATTCTTCTTTTCCTATCTGTAGCCAACTACTTAGACCCAGGAAAGAGATTTTTTATTTTCAGTTTGGTCATGACCATAGCAACAAGATGCTATTCCAATTCACTACAATCAGTTACCCAAACTGACTACCAGGTTAGGAAATCCTAAGGCTAAGACTTGTAGGGATTCTCCCATTGATAATAAGAAATTACATTTATACAACATCTTAAAGTCTAAAAAGCATTTTCTCAAGCTAAAATCATATATTACTCAGGAAAGGTTGCCAGGTTTCAGGCAAGGAAACTGATGTTCATGGAGGTGAATTGTTATTAGACAATAAGCTTATTATTTCTAAGCCAATGCACAGAGTTTGGTATAAACCTAGAGGAAGCAAGAGGATGGGGTAGTGGTCTGGTTGTTGTGGAAGTCTAGGGGCTATAGAGAAATATCTGGCCTCAAGTCCCTTGCAGAAGAAGGAAAAACTTTCTTCCCATCTCCCTAAGTTGTTCCACTCCAGAGTGAGGCTGGGAGAAGAGACACCATGAGAGCTGAAGGAGCCTTAGGGCATTTGGCTTCTGAGTGGGAACTTTAGTAGTTATGGTCAGTAAATGAAATGTTGATAGAAATATCAGAAAATCTATGTAACTGAACCTGGGACTGGGACAAGGAGTTCAGAACTGCCCAAGCCCAGACAGCAGCTGGAGGTTTCAGAATCTAACCTGGCCTCTGACCAAGTACCCAGAACCATCATTCACCTTCTTCACTCATCATGCAGTCACTTAGGATGACTGCTGAAAATAGAACGTCATTTTGCAGGAGCTTGCCCAGAGCTCCACAGGTGTCAACCGACAAGCTCTGGGTGGCCAGGTCCAGCTTCCTCTTGAGATGGCCCTCCTGCAGATCACGCAGCTGCTTGAGGACTACTTCCTGAGGTTCAGCACCACTGTCCTTACATAGTCGGCTATAGGAACGGCGGAACTCCTCCATTGTCCCAGGAAAACTATCTGGGCTGCCTCACTATGTTCTTTATAGTCCAGCTTTTCTGTGGAGAAATTCCAGAATGAGAGAACTAGCAATTCCAAAGCCTCACAAGTTATGAGGTGATCAACTCCATCCTTGGGAGAGCTGAATGATGTTCCTACGCCAAGCTGCCTTTATCATTGCTAACTTAAGATATACACAGATAAATAAAACACAAATTAGAATATGATAAATGCATAACAGGACTATAAAGTGCTACAAGATTGGATGATGGATAACATTACAGTTTCTAACAAATCACTTTAAGATTAGATATGGGAGATACGGTCTCACCAGATGAGGAATACAGGAGGAAATTAGAAAAAGCAGGACAAGTGTTGGGAAGTCATTAGGTCCTTCTTTCTCTTTCCTACTCTCCTCCCCCCTCCCCCAAAAAAAATTCCAGTTCAGTTATTGTGGTAGATAAGGGTAGGTATTGATAACAGCAGGATGGGCTAAGGGATTAGGGAGGGGACCCACAGAGGAGATCTACATAAAATGAAGTTCCTAGGTATGTGGGCATTGTCATGCTGGAGGTCCTCTTGTTTAGTGGGATGGTTCCCAGGGTAAATGGAGAGGCCCTAAGGAAGTTTAAGAGTGCAGTGCAGTCCTAAGTATATTAAAAAGTCAAGAGGGGCAGCGAGGTGGTGCAGTGGATAGAACCGAGGACATGAGTTCAAATCAGACCTCAGACACATGACACTTACTAGCTGTGTGACCCTTGGCAAGTCCCTTAACTCTGATTGCCTCACCAAAAAGCCCCCCCCCCAAAAAGGCAAACCATCACCAGCAACTTTGACTACCATCTTCCCTTAACCCCCAGCAGAGACAAACTAGAACCCTGAACCCAAGAGCCTTGGCCATAGCAGTGCCTCCCAAACCACCAGACCTGCAACCCCACCCCCCTGCAGCTATCACTAAGGGGAGAAATCATTGTGGAGAGGGGGACCACCTTCCTTGTCACTACCTGCAATAATTGCAAACTACCACCAACAGGCAGATAAGTACAAGGGCCCTGGGAGTAGCAACATGCCCCAAGCCCATCAGTCCAGCTTCTAGCTCAGCTCCATCTCACAGCAATTGTATGGAGAAGCAACTTCTGTGGAGAAGGGACCAGCCATCCTTATCGACTATCAACCAGCTGCCACACACATGGGCAGGCAGGCCAGCCAAGCTGGAGTAATAAGGCATCCTGAGAAAGAGACAGGAGGCAGGCATGGGCCAGGCAGGTCAAATTCCATCACCATCTCCCCTTGAACCCCAATGCAGACAGCCCAGGACTCTGAACCCAAGAGCTTTGGGAGTAGCAATGCTTCCAGCCCTCAGTCATCATCCTGGGAAGCATCCCCTGTGGAGATGCAGCCTGGCAACTGTTCCTGCGGGTGCTCCAGCCCCAGCTACTGAAGACCCAGAAAACAAAGTTCTGCCCCAGAGTCCTTGGCACTGTCAAAGAGTACAATATCAGAAACTGCTGTGATTTTGTCAGTGGCAACAACATTAAAGAAGGGGTATTACCATCTGCTTTGTCTCATACCCTAAGGACCATCGGACCTTTTCCATGTGACTTGCAGCTGAAACCTTCCACATGTGTGGTCACCTCCATTAGAATGTGATCTCCTTGAGAGCAGGGCTTGTCTTGCTTTTCTATCTCCACTGCTTAGCACATAGTAAGTGCTTTAATAAAATACCGATTGCATTCTTTCTTCGTGAGAGAGTAGTATATTGGGGAAGACTATATGTAAGTATGGGGAGAGTAGTACTCTGTGTAAAGGGGGATATATAGGACAGAATGTTAGTAACAGGGATGGTGAGGCAGGATGGTCTGTAGATGAGGGGTTATATGGGGGGTCGTATAGAAGAGGGAGCAGTATATGAACAAGGGTAGTGTTTGGTGGGGTCAGTATACAGGAAACGATGGTGTAGAGAGGGGCAGTGTAGTAGGGAGATGGAGGAGATGGAGACAGAGACACAGATGGAGAGACAGAAAGGCAGAGAGAGAGAAGTGAATGGGGGAGGAGATAACATGAAGGAGGCAGTGTATGCGGGAAGCAAGTACTGGGGGGGGGGTTTGGAGAAGCCACTGAATGGGGGAGGGGGTAGTGGGTCCAGGGTACTGCAAGGGGAGGGGGCAGCGGAGAGGAGGGCTGATGACGTGGTGGCCCCCACCCCTCCTCCGCAGGGGGTTGGAGCTGTTTCTGACTCCTGGTTACAGGG